TTTTATCATAATTTCACTATATATCAATTATCAAACAAAAATTCATAGTTATTGCCATATGTCATTCTAACACAAAAAAACATTCATCAATTGTACAAGTCAATGAAACATGCTGGAGGTTGAACACCTCTGGACTTAGACAAGTTGTACAATATAAAATATATTGCTGGTGATGACATTCTCTTAGTCTTAACAAAATCTTCTATCTTAGAGTTCAACATGATCCAATATTCACAATACACATATTATTCAAAATAATAAATAGCAATCTTAATTGTACATGCATAATATTCAATAATAAAGTCATAAGACTTCTAAAAATGGTTTTGTTTAAAGCCTTTCCTATAAAATTGTAGTTAGATAGTTCTAGAAACAATCATGGGTTTTTCATGTCTAAAATCTCCATCCTTACACTTCAAATTTTAAGAAAACATTTGGATTCTATGATTCTAATAAAAAAACCTAGTCCTTTCAAACCAAAATACTTAAGTAGAAATTAAGGTTCAAGATCAACTCCCCTTATCTTATTTGGAACGAGTCTCTAAGCTTAAGTTCTCCTTGAGATCCAAAAGAGATGTACAACACTTCCAGTGGAAGGTTTGTCTAAAAGATCAAGATCTGCTTCAATCCGAATGGAATAGACATTCGAGCTTAGATCTAAAAGAGGTTCAGGATTCGGAAGAGTTTTCTTTGGGCAGAGAAGGTGAAAGAATAAAGGGAAATGAGAGGAAAGACTATTTGGTTCTAAATGAAAATTTCTAAGACGGAAGTCCCTTAAATACCCTTCCAAACTTGCGCGTTCTCGCTTGAGTAAGATCAACTATCGCCTAAGTGAGAAAACTAGATAATGGTTTCACCTAGTTTTCTGATATTCTCGCCTGGGCAAGAATGAGTCCAGAGAGTTTTCCATTTTTCTTGTGATTCCTTGCTTGGGCAAGCTCCATCTCACTTGGGTGAGCCATATTCTTACCTAGACGAGAGAACAGTTGGGACAATATTATCCTCTCTCGCTTGAGTGAGAGTGCCCCAAAATACTTGGCTCAAAAAACTATGTCTCGCTTGAGTAAGACATAGCTCACCTGAGCAATAAACCTTGCACAAAATTCCTATTCCAAAAATCAAGGCAATAAAAAATGACGATGTTACATATCTCGCTTAAGCAAGACCTCCTAATGTTTTATTAATTTTAAAGATTTTCTATTCAAAGTCAAGATAAAATACCGATTAAAATAAATATGCAATAATAAAATGAGGATGTTACACAAAGCACTCCCATGTTAACAGTTGAGGTATGGGCATGCTTGTTGGGGTGAAGCTCTATTTTCCATCCACTTTGGGCCCAAAATGCACCAAAATCCAATTATGCCTTTCAAATACTAAACTGCACATAATTAAGTATAAAATCCTAATTGAAATATAGACTTATCAACCCCCTTCATACTTGAGATTTGCTTGCCCTCAAGTAAAGTCCTAATTAAGAATAAGGAAATAACTTTGAAACATATAATCACAATAAGGAATGTGATACAATTAAGATTCAAAGAACAAAAAGCGTAATATTATTAAGCATAAGTAATTAAAAAGTTTCCTACTTAGAATCTTATATTCCCCAACATTTCACTCAAACATCAAACTTAAGTACTCTACTTTCTTCTCTCTCTAAGTATCCAAGAAAAAAGGAGATATCACTTAGTTCCTCGAAAGATGAGTGTACTATTATAGGCTTGACTATAAATCAACTTTCCACTAAGTGAATTGAATGCAAGTAAAAATCATGAGGTCTTTCACAAGTTGTAATGTGGCTACCGGTTTAAATAATTAAGGTAAGGTAAATGAAAGTAATTGATGTACAAAGGAGTAATAAATCATGACAATTAACAAATATGTCCTAAGTCTATAAATGAAGTTCTTGAAGTAATTTTTATATTTCACATTCAATTAATTTCTTTACTCCTTATTCCTTTTATTCATTTTTAACTCTTTTTGCTATTTTTCATTCTCTTTTATATTTGCATATATTTTCTTTCTTTTGCATGTAAGAGACGTAGAAAAGAATTCAGCAATCGATTCAACAACCCAATTGCTTCATTCATAAACTTAAATTAATCAAAATATTTTATATAATCAAATCCAATGGAAAGAGAAAATCAATAAGGCTCAAAGTGGGCAACTAGTTATATCTCAAATATGCAGAAGGCCAAAAATAAAAATCCTATTACGCCTCAACCATATTAAAATATGCAATAAAAAAGAGTTGCTTCTAGTTAGTTACAAATTAAATTCTAGAGCACAAATCTTAAGGAGATAGTCATACAAAACAATGAGTAAGGGGTATCATTAATTAAATTAGGGCAAAGATCTCCATAAAGACTCAAAACTCACATATGTAGATTAAGTTTAATGTAGAGCGAAAAAGTAGAGAACTTAGCTAGTTATTAGTTTCCAAGTGAAAAATTTTATTTTAGTAATTAATCACTCAACATACTATTCTATCTAAAAAAAATGAGGTTCCTTGAGGATAAAAATTCACAAAAATTCACTTAAGAGCACGCAAGAAACATATTATTGGAAACTCCCTCATACTTAAAGCAAAATATTGTCCTTAATGTTTGGAAGAATTAAATGCATACAAAGAGGTTAATGAAAAAAAAAGATTCGCTGATAAATCTATTGAAAGTGCCTATTTGAGAGAAAAGATAAGGTTCTATCAGGCTCTGGTAATGCAGCATGACCATGTTGTACCTTGTGCACACCCCTGCTCGTAGTACAAAACCTCAATTTTCTCGTTGCGGTTGCATGCACGGCTGTGTATGTCGCTAAGCATGTCCGTGCTTGTTGCACATGTCCAGAAACATGCATGAAATTTGATAAACTCAACTCCTTTGAGCTGCTAATATGCTTATTCTTCATTCTAAGAAAAAGAATAAACAAAATAAATGTAAAATAAGGAAAGAAAGGGAATAAAATTGAAATAAAAGATGTTGGTTGCCTCATGCGAGGGTTTGTTTAACATCATAAGCCTGACGGTCCTAGCAGATTATGGTCGGAAGAAGGTATGATTTTCAGAGGTTACTCCCTTGATGTGTATTTGTCTTCCTAGCAACTTCTTCTCTATAACACTTGTCATATCAGAAGAGTTAATCATGAGAAGGGAGGGAGGAGGAGAGTTAAAATAAAAAGGAAAAAATTTAAGCTTTAAATCTCAGGGTTTATTAATAGGTGGTTTGAGCTTTTGTTTCTCCTTATCCTCAGGTTGCTTGTTCCTTGGCCTTCTTCTTGGAGGTCCATGCTTCACAGAATTTAGAGGAGAAGCAATATCCATAGTGCTCACAAAATTATAGGACTTTTGGCTAGAAGGGTACTTTAAAGAATTGAAAACCTGAAAAATGATTTCTTCATCATCTAGCTTTAAGGTGAACTTTCCTTCCTAGATGTCTATGATGGCTCTTACAGTTGCCAAGAAGGGTTTTCCTAAGATGATGGCAATATCATCATCCTCTACCATATTAAGCACCACAAAATTTGCAAGAAATATGAACTCTCAAAACTTCACAAGCACATTTTTTACTATGCTCTTAGAATATGTTATTTACCTATCTGCTAGCTGAAATGACACAGAGGTTGGTTTAGGTTTATGCATTCCAGCTTCTTGAAAATAGAATAGGGCATACAACTAATATTTGCTCCTAAATCACATAAAGCTTTATCAATATGAGTTTTTCCAATGGTGCAAGGGATAGTAAAACTCCCTGGATCCTTAAACTTAGACAAAAGTTTTTAAAGAACTATAGTTGAACATTCTTCAATTAAATTTATAATCTCACGCTTGTTTAACCTCTTTTTGTTGCTCAAGGTTTCCTTCAGGAATTTAACATACTTTGGCATTTTACATATCTAATGACAAAAGGAAGGTTGATGTGTACTTTGCCCAAAATATCCAAGAACTTGTTTAACTCTGGGTCATAAGGGAGTTAGCCTTACAAAATCATTATGGAAAAGGTATTCTAAGGATCATAGAGGCTTGGCCGTGTAGGGTATTCTTCTTTCTTCTTTTTTTCAATCTTTGCGCTTAAAGCACGACCTTACTCAAGGCGATGCATGGTCATGCATATTGAATCTGGCTGGGCGAGCTTATCGTGCTTCTCCTAAAGCAGGGGCATACTCATAAATAAGGGCGTGCCTGTAGGGAAGCATATGTGTGCATATTCTAAAGCACAGGGTGCTTGTACATCTGTTCTTCCATTCTTGCACCTTCTTCCTGCTTCTTAAAATATTGACTCAAAAGATTAGTAATTTGCTTAGACTTGACATAATCTTTGAAGTTTGTGATCTCATCTCTTATTTAATCTTTGTGAACCTTTTTTCCTCAATTTCAATATGTTCGAACTTAGATTTTCAAGCTCAAACATCCTCTTATCAGAATAATGCATATACTGCATCATTTGCTCTTGAAAGTTGCACTAAGTTCTAAGGGTCTCCTTTCCCTCTAGTCTTACTCCTTGATTTTATGTATAGGGAGGGCGATAAACATATGAATTTTGACTTCTAAAATCATTCCTCTAAGAATTAGAAAGGTTACTTTGACACCTCAAGTTGTAATTATTACCCATGAAACTAGCTTCCTCTTTAATTTTAGTAACTAGACAATTACTGTTATCATGGCCCAAGAAGCCACAGTGCTTAAATTTAGAAGTTGCTGGTAATTTTGTTTATTGTCCCTATACTCCCCCATTAAAGATTTTGCCTATTTAATTAAAGCTTCTAATTGAGTTTTTAGAGGATTGTTGCTTTCTGCTAGATACACCAGAGTGATCTCTTTCTTTCTGCACATGTAAGGGTTAGTTGTGTGCCATTGAAAACTAATAGATATTATCTCATCCACCAATTTATATTCGTCATCTAGATCTTTTCTTATAAGGATTCCTTCAGTTGTTGTATCAACTGTAGCCCTGAAGACTAATAATCCACTGTAAAAAATTTGCATGTGTCTCTATATAGGAAAACTATGATGAGGGCACCTCCTTAAAAATTCTCTATATCGTTCACAAGCTTCAAATAGGGAATTTGACTCATATTGCTGGAAGCTGGATATCTCTACCATAAGCTTAGTAGATCGAGATAGATGAAAATACTGTCCTAGAAATTGTTAAGTTAGATCATCCCAAGTTATGATGGAACCTACAAGGAGCATGACAAACCATGCATTCACCTTATCTATGATAGAAAATGGGAAAAGGCGAAGTTGTTCGTAGGCAAGTATACCCATCAAAAAGTAATAAAGGGTTCTAAAATAAGTCTCTAAATTATTGTCTCACAAGGATTGTTCCAATTACCAAGAATTTTTTAATTCGATTGTTTGAGCTTAAAAGATGTGAATTTTAATAAAAAAGTGAGGATTAAAAATAAATCAATTATTAATTAAATTCAAAGCAAGTAACATAATATACTTCTTGGTTGAACTTATGGGAGAGGAACCTAGGGCATATGAGTTTACTCATTCAATCCTTTATGTTTTTCTTCTTTTTAACTCTAAATCTGATTTCCTTGTGATTACCAATCATTTATACAAATACTATCAACACTTAATGATCATGTAATATCGATATTCTTTTCTCTAAATTAACATCCACAATGGTCATGTAAGATATCAATTTAAGAAAGCATAAAGAAACTATGAACTTATTAATTTAATAACAATTGAAAGAGAAAGATTGGTCTGGTCCACCTAATCCTTTGTCTCATTTTATCCTAGAGATCTATTAATTAATCGAGGTACAGTCAACTTGTTAATTTAATTACTCCATTCTCTTTTCCAAGCTTGGTCCTTTTTTTTTTCTTGTTCTATGGGACATATGAGGTCGTAGACAAAATGAAAATTTTAGAACCATAATATCCTTATGTTGAGTTTGTGGTAGAGTGATTAGGTAAGTGTTTGATTATATTTGGAAAATGAAAGGTTGTTAGTATGTTGGAAGATCTAAGAAAGAGTGAAACTATATATTGAATGCTTAGATGGAGAAAGGGATTTTTTTTTTTAACCTAGATCAAACTTATAGGGATGTGTGAATGACTTGGAACATTTTACTTCTTTCTTTTGTCACATTTATTGTAACGCCCCAAATTTTTGTAATATTAATTATTGATAATCATATAAATCTAAATGTATATTCATGTGTGTATTTTTAGATATATGTTGTGAATATGTATGTGTGTATATATGTGTATGTATGACTGGATAGGTTGAGAATGGGCTAAGTGCCTAAATGTAGGGCATGATACTGGGCTGTTCTCGCTGCAGCGAGAGGGCCCTGGGAGGAAGGACCAAAATTGTTGCCTTCTCGCTGTTGCGAGAGATGTCTCGCTGTAGCGACAGAGCGACAGTTTGAAGTACATTTCTGGGTGCAGTCTCATCGTAGCGAGAGGGCCTCGCTGTAGCGAGATTCTGCAAAAATCAGAGTGCAATTTTCTCTGAGATTTTCGCTGCAGCGAGAATATCTCGCTGTAGCGAGAGTGTCGCGACCAAAAAGGATTTAAAGGGAGTTAGGATTCAGGGAAAGTTATTTTTCTCTCTCCCTTCAAAATTCCTTTGATCCTCTCGTTCCCAAAGCCCTATTCCACCGATTAATTGCCTCCAAAGCCGTTCGGGAGCTTGATTGAAGGTTATATCCGTGTGGGGAACGCTTAAAGGAAAGTTTTAATGGTTAGGGTTTCAGTTTTTCATCCCTTTTCTCTGTTTCTGTAGTTCCCCTGGGTTCTCATGAAGTTTCTCCATGTGTTTAGGATGAAATTCGTGAGGGGGAGCACTTCTTGGTGGATTTAGCGCGTGGGACGTCAATCCAAGGTAAGGGGGGACTCTATCCTCCTCTTTTGTGCTTGAATTGTTGTTATTTTGCTGAATATTGTGTTGTGGTTGAGTTAGTGGGTAGAAAATTGCTGAGAAATGTAATGTGGGCCATGTGCTGTGATATGTGAACATGATGTGTGTTGATCCGAAATTGATGGATCTGGATTGTATGTAAATGTTGTGTGATAGAATAAGTATGGGAACTTGTGCCATATATTTGAATGAATATTGTGAAAATGTGAGCCCAAGGGATGTGTAATGTGAACGATAATTGTGGGCTATGTGTCGTGTGTAAGCATGATTACTGCATGCGTGAATGAAATATGTGTAAATGGGCATGTTAGCGCCATTGTAATGTGCTGTGAATGGTTCAGTGATACATTGGAGATGTGGAAGATGAGGACGGTAAAAATACCTTGGGGAAGAGGGTGGTGACACCGACTGCAGAACGGGTGCACCACGGGCCACACACTCTCTTCCTGACTAGACCTCTGACCGCTATCTTTGCTGAGCAACCCATGACTGCCCACGTGGTATCCGTGAGGCAGGGGTAACCGGCGACCATTCATAGTGTAAATCTGTGATCACAGTGCCACAGTGAGTGTGATTGGTGTGTGTATGCACAAGTTTTGTGTACTGTACCTATGGATATGGAATGCTGCCTGTGATGGTATTTATTTAATGTATTGGAAATGTGCTGGAGGTGAGACTCTACGTTGATTGTGTTTTTAAGTAGTGTAGAATACTTACCCTTACATTCATTTTTCAAGTAATCAAGACGATCAACACCGGACTCAGTGAAGGGGTGGATGGAAATGCTATAGGACTTAGGATATTATTTTGGAAAACCGTTGTATTTGAATAAGTCTTATAGCAACTGTTTGATATAATTTGTAACCCCTTCCTTTATTTGAAATGGTTACTGAAACTTGAATTAAAAATGAAAATTTTATTATCTCAAAAATTTGCGAAATTTCTTATTTATGAAAATTAAATTTAAAGTGTTACATTTATTTGTCTTATTTAGAAAGTTCCTCAAGTCAAAGTGTCTTGTGGTTTAGTTCATCCAATTTATACTTTGGAATTTTATTATGTTTTATTTTTTTACTAGATCTATGGTTTGAATCATGGCATCTTCCAATATTACAAATCAAATTTTACTTTTTCATTAAAATTTGTAATTTATTTGTTATTCTACATGTGCATTTTAACCTCTAATCCTTTCTTACTTCCAAAAAATTTCAATTAAAAATTATTCATTCCTTTCCTTTTTTTGAGGATGTATTTCTAATTCTAATAAATTTTAGTTTATTTTTTACATCTAAATTATTTTTGAAGAAAAAAAATTATCTGAACAAATTTAGAAAATCCTACTTTACTTCATATTTAATTGAATCTATATTAACATAATTATATATATACATACATACATATATATATATATATATATATAACATTAACATGAATTTCAAATAGTTATTTAAATTAAAATTTTTATTATCATATAAAGCGAGTACATTTGTTTATTTAATTTTTACCTTTTTTATACCTATAACAATCAAAAGGCTGCATAAAATTTAAAAATTATATTTATCACACTAAAATATAATATGAACCACGAAGTTAATAATAAAATAAAGTAAAATAATAGGGGAAAAAATCATTCGAATAACATCTATGTTGGATACAAAAGGAGCCTACCTTTAGAAATGAAGTAATTCGAGAGTCGAAGAAGAGAAATGTGAAAATCTTCTATGATATAGAAAATGGTAATATACAACATTTTAATTCAAAATGTGATAAAATAATTTTATATGTGATGTGAATCTTTTTAGTAAAATGTTACATATTTGAATCTTATATTATATATAATTTTTAGACTAACTACGGTCATAAATTGTGTGAAAATAATATTGAATATTTTTAATAGAGAAACATCTTGTTATCTCTTATTGTAATATATATATGATTAAATGGTAAAATTTGGGTACAATTGTCAATCCCTTGCTTATGGCCTTTTAATTATATATTTTTGTTTAAATAATACTTTGATCACTATACCTAAATCCAAATTTATAATTTGGTTACTATATTTAAAAAAATTATAAAAAAAATCCTTATATGTAAATTTAGTTTCAATTTAGTGCTTGACATTAATTTATTTTCTTATGCTGTTGACAAAATTTGCTTACGTGCAAAAAGGAATCTAAGAAGAAACAAGATAATGTTAGGATTGCTTCCTTACCCTTCCTTTCTTTTCATTTTCTTCTCCCTCTTTCCACCTCCACATCAAATACTTAATTTCTAGAAGAAACACTATAACACCCTCTTTTTATTTATTTATTTATTTATTTATTTATTATTTGATAAATTGTTTGATATTAAGTGATGTTGGGATGTGTTTTAATTTGATTTAATGAGTCTTTGGTAAAGGTATGGTGTAGAGGCTCTCGTTCAAGCGAGATGGAGCGCTCAGAGCCACATGATTGTTTTAGTTCTTTCCTTTAGCATGAGTAACTAAGTCCATAGTTAAGGCTATAGGAATTATTATTCATGAATTTCTAGAATTTTGAAGTTTGAATCTATGTTTGATTTTCGTATATGATTACTGTATATCCTATTGTGCATAATTGTATAATCCTAATTAATTATATCGTCAGACGACCATATCTCGATTAGTTAATAGATCTATAGGATAAAATAAGACAAAGGATTAAGTGGACTAAACCAATCTTTCTCTTCCAATTGTTATTAAATTAACAAGTTCATAGGTGCTTTATGCTTTCTTGAATTAATATCTTGCATGACCATTGTGAATGTTAGTTTAGAGAAAAGAATATTAATATTTCATAAGGATTAGGTATTGATAATAATTATATGAATGATTGGTAATCACAATAAAATTGAACTTAGAATTAAACAGAAAAATTACATAAAGGATTGAATGAAAAAACTCATATGCCCTAGGTTTATCTCCGATAAGTTTAACCAAGATGTATATTGTATTCCTTGTTCTTAATTTTATAATTGATTTTATAAATTCTTGTTTTAATTAATCTTATATCCATGAAGCTCAAACTATTGAATTGAGAAATTCTTAGTAATTAGAAAACAATCATTGTGGGACGATAATTTCAAGAATTTATTTTAAACCCTATATTACTTTTCGATGGTACACTTGCCATCCGAATAGTTATAATTACTAATTATAGCCAAAGTTCTATTGTTGCATAAGAAAATGTTGAAAACACTCTTATTTGAAT